CACCTCCTCCTCAATATTATGCATTGTAATAAAAATAAATTTTAAAACTATCCCTTCCCTCTCTAAATTCGACTACGTCTCTCACACTATTCCTCACCACCATCTATGTCACCTTATCTAAGCTTAATACTTCCCTTCAAAAGTGTGAATTTTAAATTCATTTTTTAACCCTTGTAAGTAAAGTCTGAAGATCCAGAGAAAAAAATCTCTGGTGAAATAAATTATTACTAATGGAACCTTAAAGTGGTGTGTTTTTTCTTTAAATTATCTATCTATCTATCTACCTATCTATCTATCTATCTATCTATCTATGTGTGTGTGTGTGTATGTGTGTGTAAATATGACTTCATACTACAGAAATTTAACAAAGCTTTAAATACTGCCAATGCAAGCATCTTAATACTAAAATTTATCTAAAGAACATTTCGACCAACCCTTCTTCAGAGATAAATCGTTTATCAGTAAAAAGAAGAGTTTGTGAAAATGTCTCTTGGCTGGTTTTTTGTATTAAGATTCTGTCGTTGATACTATGATGGATTTATCAATATACTAGCGGAGGCCTCTTAATTGGACCTTCGGCTTGTTCAAGAGTTTGAGAGTTCCTAAGTCTTCGTATATTCTCAGCCGTGAAAACACTCATAGCTGCCGTTTGATCTGGGTTTTCATTTACACAGGACTTTCTTTTCCTTGCTGCAGTCGTAGCTCTTTTCGTTGCAATCTTGTCCTCTGTTGGCGGAGATTTCTTCTATCGAGTCACATTGCTGCCATATGCGATAGGCAACAAGAAACAATAAGAACAACTCAAAACTAATCGCTGCATTTAAGTATTGCATTAATATTTAAGCTTACCTTTTAAAAGTTCAACGATAATTCTTCTGCCGCGAATTAATTTAAAGACATTTTGATGTACGTAGGTCCTTACTTTCAATACAAAAAAATTATTTTTATTTCATGCGTGACTTTCGCTAATTTAGCAATTAGTTTCCTTTATTCCCAAATTTATTTCCAAGTTATAAAAGTTGTTATCGTAAAAAAAAAAATCTTCGCAAAAGATTACGTAAAAAAAATCTCCGAAAACAAACACATTGTTGAAAAACTTGGGAATCCAAAATCTCTAGATAGCGGGTCGAGATCCAGCCCGGAATGTTTTTAATTTGCTCATGGAGTCGGCTTGATTTCAAAATGGGGTGATATGTTGGACTACGGGGTCAGGAGACAAGTTGAAAAAGTGTGACACAGTAACACACTGACATTCGCATTTATTATATAGAAGAAGAAGAAGAAGAAGAAGAAGAAGAAGAAGAAGAAGAAGAAGAAGAATATGAGCTACTGAAAGTTAGAATGTTGTACAATTTGCAAGTGCAGTCATGAAATCTCTGTTCATACCACCAGAGAAGTGGCTCACAGGTAGACACTGTTCGAGTAGAATTTACAGTAGAAGGCGCGGGGTTTGCTACAATGTGAGTGTCATGGCGGGCTCTAGCCGTGAGGGGTAGAACTGGCGCAACCAAACATTGGATGATAAGTGTCTATTATCTTCAAGTGTAATGGAGTCGTTTTCTAACTTTCGGTATAAAGATGCTGAGATCCGAAATACAGCAAGGCTGTCGTTTGCCAAAATGTTAACTTCTGAAATTCTTGATCTTGAGCAGCGTATAAAATTTTAGCACCGTAAGACTTTGGTATGTTTATTAGGGCCAGAAAGAGCTGGGCACGCTACAAGGGACTTGTTAATGGTCCTATAACTTATGTTGCAAAGCATATGAAAACTACTGGAGTCTACAAATGATGCTAAAAACAGCACAGCTGGAGGCAGATGGGGATGGCAACGCTCTAAAGATATTAAGCGAAAATTAATTCTATTTTGGTTTCATATTCCACACGGAAAAATGAATTGCGACACGCAACAATAAATAATAACCGGCACGATTGTATGCAGTGGGGAAGTACTGCGTTGATAAGAAATCCTGGGGAGGAGAGATTTATTGCAGTAGATCCCTATCAATTTTGTTTTTCAGCAAACATGGAGTCTGTTAACAGAGATGTTTTCGATTGTGAGTAAAATATTATAAAATTTTAAAAATCTTTAAATTTTAAAAATCCGTAACTTTTAAAATCATTAAATTTAAAGTATAAAATTTTTAGCTTTCAAAAATTTTTAAATCTTAAAAATATTTGAATTTTAATAAACTTTTAATTTTGATAAACTTTAAATATTAGAAATCCTGAAATATTAAAATATTTAAAATTTAGGTTTTCTACTTTTAAATCTTTGACTTTAAAAGATATATTTAAATTTTCAAAATATTTAAATTTGAAAATCTATAAGTTTTAAAATCTTGAATCCTTAAATTTTCAAAATATTTCAGTTTTAAAATCTATAAATTTAAAATCTTAAATCTTTAATTTAAAAAAATCTTTTGAATTTAAAAATCTTTAAATCTAAAAAAAATTAAATTTTAGAAATCTTTAGATTTTAAAATTATAAATGCTTAAATTTTAAATATCTTTAAACTTTAAAAGCTTTAAATATAAAATATAAATTTGTTTGATTTCAAAAATTTTTAAATTGTAAATAATCTTTAAGTTTCAAAACTTTAAATTTGAAATATTAAATTCTTAAATTTTGAAAATCGTTAAATTTTTTTTTAAAAATTTAAAAATCCTTAGATTTTAGAAATCATTGAATCAAAATCTTTGCAATTTAAGATACCAAATCTTAAAGGTTTAAATTCTCCAAATCTTTTTTTAAACACTTAAATACTTAAAATTTAAAAATCTCTAAATTAAAATAAAATCTTTGAATTTTAAAAATCTTTAAATTTTACAAATTTTTAATTTTAAAATGTTTAAAATTTAAAAACTTAATTCGTTAAATTTTAAAATCTTCGAATATTTAAAATGTTTAAATTTTAGGAATTTTAAAATTTTACAATCTTTCAAATTTAAAATCTTATATCTTTAAATTTTAAAAATGTGGAAAAGTTTATTAGTAAAAGTATTGTCATTCGAATCTGGACTTTACCGGAATTCGAATGCTTTTCATGGTCGACCTTGATTCTTTTTACGCCCTTCTGAGCCTGAAACGAGTCCAATTGTCAACTCATAAGTCTGGGAGAGGTGTTAGCCACCGCTCGGGTACTTCAAGGTACCTCTGTTCATGCACAGAATTGTCGGCGAAAATAAGACAACGCAAGGAGAAACAAATTCATAAACAAAGACATATTCCAGTGGTTAATGGTTAATTCTTTCGAGTCGTAGGAAAGAGATGTGGCTATTAATACAATTTCCTAGTTGAGGGAAAAGGACGAAATCGCTCTGCGGAAGACGAAAACATTGAAGATGACAAATACATCGACTGATGGCATAGAATTGACAATTTTACGAAAGAAACAATCAAGTGTAAATTGCTGTGAAAACAAAGATTAAAACAAGCAACTGACTTACTTAAACAAACAATAAATATGACGGCGTACTGTCCCATTGAGAAATGTTTTCCTGGTACAAATTTGTCGCTATATTAAAGTAACACAGCTGAATGTATTCACAACATCCATTTTAACTTTCTTTCTGAATTTTTACGCATGTGCATAACATATAGAAATAATGAGTTTTGACGGCCCGGCATATGGATAATTCCCTTGTTCAATAGGTTTGACGGCCCGGCATATGTATAATTCACCTGTTCAATAGGTTTGAAGGCCCGGCATATGTATAATTCACTTCTTCAATAGGTTTGACGGCTCGACATATGGATGTAAAGGACTGTGTAGGTTTACGTGTTGTTGAATTAAGAACATGCGCTGTTTATTCCTGCTAGAAGAAGGTATTGCTACAAGAACATGGTGGACTCAAGTTGAGTCCAACCGAAGATGTAAAGAAAACAAACAAGACCGATATATATATATATATATATATATATATATATATATATATATATATATAACATCATTAACATTTGTGTTTTGTGTGAACGTAAAGAGTTTGCATTTTGGTGAATGTTCATACGTGCGTGTATGTGTGTATAATGTTCATGGCGTCTCCCACAAATGGGAAGAAGCTATCTTCTGCGAGAGCTTACATTGTAAATGTTTTCGTTGAAATGAAGAAATGAAAAAGAGAACGAGGCAAGAAGTTGTCCAGTATTTATAATGTAGAGAGAGCGTCCCCTAGTGAACAATTAAGGAATTAAGGAGGAGCTAACTCTGACTTGTATAATTCAACTGTTTCCTTGACATACACATCCCAGCACAAGACATGGTACTTTCACTGCAACAATAGCAAAAAATGATATTATTAAACAAATATCGTAATTATTCGTTAATATAAAATACACACAGAAATTTGAGTAACGAAATTATGGAAAAAAAATATCTCTTCGATATACTAATCCCTAACTTGTAGCAACTAATTTCTGCCTAAAATTAACATTGGTGTAACTTTTTATTCGGATCGTATGGACTGAAAATAAGAATCTCTATTGATTACATTAAGTCCTTATTGTTCACAAAAAATCAAACAAGATTGTGGTGAACATAAGTCAACACTACGAGAAAGAAAATTATAAACAGACATCCTAGTGACGGGGGTCAGTGTGGGGTTATTTATCTGGAATGGCGTAAAGCCGTAGTGGACATTACGACTTCTTCGTTTTATGAGGAAGAAGGACAAAATGGCTCCGTGGACAACGACGACATCAAATATGACAAAGAACAATTAAGACACTGGCTATATAGCTGAAACTGTCATGTCGTCGACATTTGACCCGGGCAGCTGTGAATCAAACTAAAATAGTCTTAATATCTATGTGATTTCATTTTTAAATAGGAAATGCAGTGTATGCTTATTGATGCTAAATCCTTTGCAAGACGTTAATTAATTTAGACCAGAGATATGATTTGCATCCAGATCATACCATCACAAATATGAAAACGCACAGGACAACAAGAAGAAATGAATAATTAGTTTGGGTCTATCATATGTACCCCTAAATTTTAGACTTAGAATTCTGCCATAAGTGTCATACATGAGAAAGATAGGAACAGCATACAAGAGACAGTCACACAGATAGATAGATAGATAGATAGATAGAGAAAGATAGATATGAACAGGTTAAGATCGATCGATAGATAGATAGATAGATAGATAGATAGATAGATAGATATGATGAGATAGATAGATAGATAGATAGATAGATAGATAGATAGATAGATAGATAGATAGATATGAAGTGGCTGATATAGATATGAACTGATTGAGATAGATATATAGATAAATATGAACAGATTGACAGACAGACAGACAGATAGATAGATAGATAGATAGATAGATAGATAGATATGAAGAAGCTGAGATAGATAGATAGATAGATAGATAGATAGATAGATAGATAGATAGATAGATAGATCAAGAGAGAAAAGATTCAAATCAATGGCGATGAAAGAGAAGACTTTATATCAATCAAGACGATGACTAAGCAAAATCCGACACTGCTTTACAGTCAGAAACTCGTAAAAAAAAAATGAAAAGTGAAATAGTTTAAATAAAAAAGAGAGAGAGAGAAAAAAAAGTTTGAGCGGCGTCAAACGGCTGGGCGGGGCGGGGACAAAGTTCAGTTATTGAACAGTAGCCATAAAAACAACACTGGTTTATGAAACGAACTGCGGTCTGAGAAAGTTGCTCATAAAATAGGAATTGCGAAACGAACGAAAAGCCAGAGCTGCGTTGGAGTCGTTTTTTTTTGTTTTTTGGGGTTTTTTTTCCTACAAGTTTATTGTTTTATTGCGTACGTCCCGTTGGGGGTGGAGATATTTTTCTTCATTAAATTCTTCCTTTATATATATATTTCTGTTTTTTCTTTTGTTTTTTTTTTTTAATATTTTGTATCATATTTTCCCGTATTTTTTGTTAGTTTTACTTTTATATGCCATGATATTATTTTTATGGAAGAAACAGATGGTCACTTCGAAAGAGAAGGAAGAGTGGCCATTTCGCGGGCAGCTGTTAAATGCAAATTCGACATTCTTAATTGACGGATACAATGACTTCACACGTATTCGTATATAAAATATACACACATACATACATACAGATTTATGCACCCCTCAAACATTCACACACACACACAAATACATACATACATACATATATATATATATATATATATATATATATATATATATATATATATATATATATATATATATATATATATATATATATATATATAAAAACTCAAAAGAAAGAAATATATATATGTACTCATGTATATTATATCACATACACACGGGAAGTGCCCTATCAACGACGTCTGTCTGGAAATCTTCCAGTCATTTAATAAAAGCCACAAAGTACCTTACACAGAGCAATGGCGCCTTAGTCCCCATCAAACTACACAAGTGTTAACATAACATAAGCGACTTCTCAAAATCTCACTGTCATTTTGTCGACCTCCTCTCGATTGTCCTCGTAAAAACGGGAGGCGTAATAAAAACGGTCCGTGGAGGAATCAGAAAAAACTAATAAACGGGATGAGTTTATTAAACGGGTAGGACTGGTTAGAGAAAACGCTAAAATGAAATAAATTAAATCGGGAATTTGGGAAATGATTAAAAGCAATAGCTGTCTATATTTCTGAGATGAGGTATTATGTACACTATTTACATTATTCGGACTATTGTCCTCATCTTTCTCACCATATTTATTACAACGTTTCGGCCTTTCATTTTCTGTCTATATTTCTGTAATGAGGTATTATGCACACTATTTACATTATTCGGACTATTGTCCTCATCTTCGTCGCCATGTTTATTACAACGTTTCGGCCTTTCAGTATCTGTCTATATTTCTGAGATGAGGTATTATGTACACTATTTATATTAATAGAATAAAATGTCGTCCAATGTCGTTAAATAATGTTTTTAAACAATAGAAATAACAATATCTGATCTATCGTATTGCCGGTAATAAAGTCACAAGAAAAATTATCACATGAAAAAAGTCACAATTTTGACTCGGAAAAAAGTCACAATTAATTTATGTCCTAGTATCTTATAAGAACCCTCACACTAGCTTCTTTCCTATCTTTCTTTCCCCCTCTCTCTAGATCTTTCCTATCTTTCTTTCGACCTCTCTCTAGATCTTTCCTATCTTTCTTTCCCCCTCTCTCTAGATCTTTCATATCTATCTTTCTCATCCTTGTTTCCCCCACTCCCACGTATACACTGTCACAGAAATTTTGTTATTTCAACCCGCAGATATATTTTCTGTTTTCTTTTTGAATTTGTACGTCTGATAAATTCGGTCGTTATTACGAATCCAATGAAATAAATTATGACCATGAAATATTAGTATTTGAACCTTTTGTATTATAGTCCTTGTCTATAACATTAAGCTGTACCTGGATTATATCCTCTTGGAAATACATATATATATATATATACATATTGATAATTGCTAGGGATAATTCCAAGGAGGACATGAATCCAAAGAGAGTTCAATGTAAGAAACAGTGGTATGATAATAATAATAATAACAATGATAATAATAATTGTTATTAAAGACCACAAACAAAAACGGTGCCTCCTTATTGATATGACAGTCCCTGCTGACTGCAATGTATCTTTGGAGATATTCAAAAAGCTGTCAAAGTACAAGGACCTTGAAATAGAAATCTCGAAAATGTGGCATATGGGAACATCAACAATCCTTGTTGTAGTTGGAGCCCTAGGACTGGTTGGAAAAGATTGCAGTAGACTAATTGAAGGGATTCCTGGAAGTCCATGCCTCAAGGAGATACAAAAAATTGTTCTGACAAGTACAGCCCACAACTCACGAAGGGCTTTATCTATGTAATTTAATTTTTTTTTTTTTTTTGTCAGTGGAAAGTGTCATGACGCCATTTCTAACCTTAGGTCCCTGGGCGGAACCCGGAAAGAAATGTGTAAACGCCAGAAATAAAGGAAATAATAATAATAATAATAATATGTACAGACGACCCTTAAAAATCTATTCGCTTATAATTTATTTCATGAATATATAGAAATATTCATCACTCCAGACCAAAGTTGTTTTTTTTTAAATAAATGGAGTCAATTTGTTCGGACAAAAGGAAGTGGGAGAGAAAGAAAAAAGAAAAAAGGAAAGGGAAAAAAATGATATTAAAAGAGGAAGAAAGAAAAATCAAAATTCCAATATAAGGTTTAAAAAATTGTGGGGATGGGGAGAAAAAGAGAGAGAGGGAAGATATGGCGAGGAGAGAGATAAGGAGAGAGAGATAAGGAGAGAGAAAAGGAGAGAGGGGAGAGAGAGAAGAAGGAGAGAGAGGGAGAGAGAAGGAGAGAGAGGGGGAGAGAAAAGGAGAGAGGGGGAGAGAGAGGAGAGAGAGGGGGAGAAAGAAGGAGAGAGAGGGAGAGAGAGAGAAGGAGAGAGAGGGTGAGAGAAAAGGAGACAGGGAGATAGAAGGAGAGAGGGGGAGAGAGAAAAGGAGAGAGAGAGGGAGAAGGAAAGAAAAGAAAAGAAATAAGCAAGAATTAAACTTGAGACGATAGACTGACCTAGAAATAATTTTTTTCTTTTTTATGTCTAATTAAGAACTTAAATGAAGTTTTTATTCGAGAAATAATGTTCCTTCGTGTAGTACCCGACAACAATCGATCTTTCTTGTAGATATAAGTCAAGCAGATATTGGCTGTTATTATTAATTGATTTTAAAATTGGAAATAAACATTCTCTGAATGTTCAATTTATTGATGAGACTTGAATTTTGTCAAATTTTGGATAACAGACTGGTTTTTTGTCTGCTGGAATTTTATCCTGGTATCGTTTTGCTCATTGCTATTGTTTTATTCAATGATCTCGGCGTAATCATAGATTTTACATACATTTAAATTTCATTTTTTTACTGTATGAATTGACACACACAAAGGCCAGTCAATTTTAGGCTGGACATTGATACCACTCCTTAGCATTCTTTGATCGCTTTTATCTAATTTCGAAGGTCTACGCGCCTTTTTCCTATCCAAAACGTACCTGACGTCTGCTTCTTCAAAATGCCTTGGACAAGCTCTTTATCTATTTCCCGTTGACTCATTTTTTGTTGTGACAATTTTCATCCTCTTCTTCAAACTCACTCTTCTCATTTTGGACCTTAAATCATCTCCACTACAAAAAAAAAAAAAAAAAAAAAGAAAAAAAGAAGACATGTTGAAGGCTCCTGACTTTTAGGAAAACTATGTATGATCATTTAACATGAGAAATGCGCATGCGTATCTTACTCTAGGATGTTGTTAATTTTGGTGGTCTGTCAAGATGATCGTAAATTTGGCATGCTTCATTTTCCGTCTCACAATGTGTCCAGGCCGGTACCTCCCCCTTTTACCGTGTTCGCATGAATAGGACAACTCGCATTCCAGTCCTGAATAAGCACAGGTGCTACTCTTTAAAATACATTATCGATTCCTTTTTTCTTAAACATTTCGACCCAAGCAAGGCAATAAAGCCACTACGATGTACGTGTTGCCATATCTAGTGTAGTGCTCTTGCTATTCCTCGTGAGATTCTTGACAAAATCCAAAGAAGGATCTGCAATGTAATCGATCCTGACATGGCACCTCGACGTCAGTCACTTTCTTACCGACATAATGTGGCTTCCCTCTGTCTTTTCTACAAATATTTTCATAGCAACTGCTCTGACGAGCTTTTTTCCCTTGGTGACCCGACTACATGAATTTAAGCGTGCTACTCGATTGGCATTTAGGTCCTACCCTTTTACTGCTGAAATAGCTAAATGTAACCGCCACTTCTATTCCAACAGATTATTTTCTCGCACTTCCCACCTGTGGAACTCTCTTCCGTTTACTTGCTTCCATGTTAACTACAATCTTCAAAAATTGAAATCCAACGTCAGTTGCCATTTTCTTTCTTCTTGAATCTCGGTGAGGTTTTGTTCTTTCCTGACTTCTCCCTATACTCCTTCTAACACCCTGCGTACTTGTGGCATCTACGCCTTGCTGGGGGTGGGATGATTACGATATTTAGTTACTGTGACTGGGAAAGAATGAAAAGACTTTAATGAGGAGAAAGTACAATAACAGTGCATCATTCAGGAAGATAGAAGATTACGATTGACGTTGCATTAAAGATCGTAATTGACAGGGAAGCAAGAAAGCGGAAGGGAGTCCCACAGGTGAGAAGTGTGGGAAAAGAATAGAACTTGCGATTTCAATAAAACGATGTGAACCCTCTTGGCAATTTAATAATACGCTTAAATTCATGCGACAGTTTCGTGTTGATTTTAGATATTAAACATTTTGTGGGATGGACAATTATGCTGTTACACCCTGTGTATATATATATATATATATATATATATATATATATATATATATAGGAAGAGAGAGAGAACGAGAGGGTGAGGAGGGATGTAAGGCGAGAGAGAGAGATGATAAAACAAAAGGTTGTTACTTGAAAGCCAAAAGATATGAAGTGTTGGACGCCGTTGTTAGGGAAACACTGTCCCAAGTAGATCTTGACCCAGAATTCGGGAGTTGTCAAATACATCTTAGTGATGACGTCATTTTTATTCGAAAGGACGCACGACCTCACAAAGATCATTGAGACACGCCCTAAAAGTTTACACAAAGACGCACACGCGCGCACACACACACACAGACACGCGCGCGCACACACACACAGAGACATACACACGCACACACACAACAATAGTCGTACTTTAAACACAAAATAGGACAATCTTCTAAGGCAATTTTCCAAACGTAGCTTACATGTGGCATAAAGCAGAAAGTATGGGGCACCCAGTGAGGATCGAACTCACTACTCAGTCGTAACTGTTCTGCAGAGCCAAGCTCGTTAACCATTACACCGACTCGAGGGGTCCTAGGACAATCTTCTATATGCAGTGTCCCTTCAGAAGGTAGTTGTTCATGGACCTCCATAACTCGCTGTCCTATTTGGCTTTTAATAGCTTTTGTCTTTTTGTTATCTCTCCTAAACTCTGCTCCCCCACAATCCATTTACTCATGCTCGCCATAAAGGTAGTGCGTTATTTTCCTTTGTGCCTCTCACCATTGCTCAGTTGAGAAGACAGTGGTGTTAATACAAAACGATTTTAACCTGTTCCTCTTCTAGTTGAATAACTCAAAAGGTGTTTCAGTGATTCTCACGACAAATGGTGTCAAAATGGCTAAACGTCTTGCCTGAAAACCTGTAAAAAAAAAAAACTGAATTAGTTTAGTGTTCATCTTTGTCGCCATATTTGTTACAACGTTTCGGCCGTTGTACGCTCCAGCCTTCTTCCTCAACGACACATAGCACAGTAGATAAAGGCGTTAGTTAGATCCAGTGACAGGACCTAAAAGAGTGTCAGTTCAATACCCGGTTAAGGCAGTGGAAAACTTTCAGAGGGAAAGGTGATAACTGACATCCATTAGACATGGCACGTGGAACTAGAACAGTCTACCCCAGTGAGCAAAATAAAGGATTCTGTTCGAGAGTCCAACCACCTGAAGAAGGCTGGAGCATACAACGACCGATTCGTTGTAATAAATATAGCAACAAAGATGAGGACAATACAGACAGATACTAGTTTAGTTTGTTTTTTTTTGTTGTTTTTTTAGATATCAAAGATTTTATAGGATGGACAATTCCGCTGTTCCACAATTTGGACAATTTTGCTGTTACACCCGAGTTCTCCGCTTCTTCATGTTTTTCAGAAATTTAAAATCTTTCTGGTTGTAAGTATATCTTTCTTAATTCCTATCTTAGATGTTTCTATGTTCAGTTCGGGTCATTTTCCTGTATCCCTCAGTAGAGTCGTACTTCTGTTTCTTCAAGTTATTTCGTCATACATATCCAAGAAAAAGAGCAACGAAAAAAAAGGTAATCTTTAACCTTTTTGCTCATAAAAACAAAAAAAAAAAGAAAAAATCGGTGATTCAAAAGGGCAGTTATTCCCTTGACGCCGCTATTACTGTATACACTTTTGACTCCCTCGGCAATGTTTCTTTACAAGATTATAGAAAACATGTTAACCATGTAGAGTGTGATATTTATTATCTATCTTTCATAAAGATTTCTTATTAATCATTTTATAAAGAAATACACTTGAAAATAAATCTTTCCATTCAAAAATTTATAAAAATATGTAAACTGTTGCTAATTCCGCTAACTTTCGACGGAGCCGTTGTCTCGGTCGCTCTTGAAAAAATACAAAAGACCCACAGAATGCCCAGGTAACAATTTGGTAAAGTTGAGGAAAATCTGTTCTTCGCGACGAAGCAGAGCAGTTGACTGGTTAATGTTAGTAGCCGCTTCGTCTATCAACGGGGCCCCTTTTAGCCCCAAAGCTCAATAAGATTTTAACCAGGTAGAAGAAAACAAAAAGATTCAATCAAATCTCCTGAGCAGTCAATAGCAAGGCTTCCATCCCTCTGGGAAGAGTTAATCGTTGATAACTTTTAGTTTCCCTCAAACCAATGACAATGAAATATTTTCGATAAAAGTTACAAATATTCTGTTTGTTTTATTTGGTTTTACGGTATATCAACCTCAATGGGTTATTTAATGCCGACAAGATTTTTCAAAAATGTATTGCTGGTAATTTTTTTTTAATGTATATCTGATATTTCTTTTCAAAAATTTATTGCTGGTAATAATTTTTCTTCATAAATTTATGGCTGGTAATAATTCTTTACAAAGTATTTCTGGGATTAAATCCTATTTTTACCCTTTCATAGTGTTTTAACCCCATTTTGGGGGTTAACTATTTACCCATAACTGGGACCCTAACAGGTGCTACCACCCCGGGTCAGGGTGGGCCTGGGAACACCAGCAATTAAGAGGTTGTTCCACGCCCCTCAAAACCTTTTGATCAGAGGTCTTGCTGTTGGATGTAGTTTATCGTCATACCCAGGGCGCGGCTGTAGTTTATCGTCATATTCAGGACGGGGACATTCTGTAATTATACACAAGGAAAACCTTGTTCACCCAATGAGTAGGGAGATAAACACTCAAGATATTTGAGTCTTTGTCGTCTCGCCGAAAATTAAAGAATATTTGATTAAGAGGAAAAGATGCTCTCAGCCTATTTTAGTGAATTTATGTGACGAGAGTAAATAAAATAAACGCCCGAAAAATGTATTTTTTTCAAAATTTATAAATTGTTACTCGCCCTTATGTTTTTATTTAAACATTTTGTTTATAGACATTTTTATGATTCGATGAATAAAAATAATTATTTTCAGATTTATTTCTTTATAAAATGACAAATAATAAGTATTTCATTGTAGTTAGATCACATTTCTTGTGAATCTTATAAATAAGCAATCTAATAAATGAATGAATAGTGTTTAACATCTTTGTTGTCAGTTCTCAGTAATAAAGAAAATGTATAAGTCCGTTTTCATGTGTTTCGGTTGTATCAAAATCCTAATCATCGTTTTTAAAACAATACACATTGCCGACGACGTAAAAAACTAATAGCAATATTTCTGAAGGAAGCAAATTTTGATTTTGAAAATGCTACACTCATAAAAAAAGAAAATAACTCACCCAGAAGGAAAATCCTCGAGAGTGCCGCCATTTAATATTACCCAAATATTAATCCACGCCCAGGCCTTTTCCCTATTTCACCTTTTTTAACAGGATTACTGCTCTCCCAAACAAACGTACAGAACAATATCATGAAATCAAAAGAAAATGTTTGAATCAGTCAACTCAGCAATAAAAACAATATCTCCACACGTGACAGTAATTGACGTAATTTTCAGTTAACAGTATGAAAATAGCGTTCTCTAAATTCTTCCAGTTGCTAAGGACATTTTGTTTTTGTTATTATTAGTTACTTTGTTTAAATAAATTCATTTCGTCTTTTGCCTTGAAAAAGTCCACATTGGACGAAACGCGTCGGCAACTACTACAGTTTTCCTATTGTCATTTATATTTATAAATATTGTCTTTTCTACAGGTTAACTCTGAGTTCACACACACACACACACACACACACACACACACACACACACACACACACACACACACACACACACATACACACACACACACACACACACACACACACACACACACATATATATATATATATATATATATATATATATATATATATATAATGGAGTCTCCTGTCGGTTTTGGCGTATGCGAATCTGACAGCTTAGTTAATTCAGTTATGAAATTTTGGGCTATAAACTTAAGTGGCATTTAAGACCCGCTAGTGATTTACAAAGGAGGCCACATATGGAGCAAGTGTGAGGATTGTGAGATGAGATCACTATTAGATCGGTTGACCTTTTAGATCTTGCTCTCGCTTATTGAAGATGATTCAGACAAGCAGATGGAAAATTGCTGAGTCCACTAAAACACGTTGATCTCCGTTCTACCCGTTCCAAGACTAAGCGTTCAATGGTGTTATGTGGTATATTGACTGCTGACAAATTGCTTTTCAGCTCGTATTTGTATCTTAGCCGCGGGCGTCCTATATATGATCACTTTTTTATGAATCGATGAATAAAAATAATTCTGTTCATATTTATTTCTTTATAAACTGGTAAATAATAAGTATGTCATTATTGTTGGTTCATATATTTTTTGATAATTTTGTAAATAATCAAGCTAATAAAGGAATTTTGTTTTTGTCACTTCTCAATAATAATGAAAATGTATCCACTTTCGTATGTTTGGGTTTTTGTTAAAATTTTAATCAATGCTTTTTGTAACAATAAACATTACTGGTAAAAGTGTATACAGTAATAGTGGTGTCAAAGGAATAACAATCCTTTTGAAACATCGTATTTTTGCAGGCAACATCTGACTTTTGTAATCATAGAGGGGGTGGGGTATCTGAATGCAGAAGCCATATTGAATCTCCTCTACAAAGTCCTATCAATGGTAGTCATCAGCAATTCTGGTATAGTCATACTTGCCCATTGTTTGACCTTGTTCAAACAGTTTTTGCGTTAGCCCCCT